TACGACATTTCTGCTAATGGTTCGAATTTATGGACATCTGTTATACTGTGTTTTTGAATTTAAATAAAATATTTCCAGAGCGCGATCACGATTCCCGTGCAAACTAAAATGTCCTAAAACTCCCCTTGTAAATAAAATTTTAAATAAATTTTTTTCTTAAATTCTATTAGCAAATATAGACGTTAATATGACCGTTAATTTTTTATTCTTTGTTTTGATAAAAGGTCCGTTATCTACTGCATTATTTATAGTCTGTTCCAATCCAATGTGCCAAAAAAGTAAACAAAAAAAGATGTTCCACATATATATAGATATATGTATAGACATGTATCTATATATATGTGGCACATCTTTTTCCGACTTACGGTAGTAATATAAGAAAACATAATTAATTATTTACACGGATTGTCCGCGACGCGAGTGTCCCGCACCGGCTTACGTTACCGGTTGCTACGCTACAAACCAAAAGCCGACGGTTCACTAGCGAGAAAAAATTCATGAAATTATAGTTCATATAATTTTTTTCTTTTTTTCTCCCCTACAAACATTCGCCTCACTGCTCCGTTATTTTCGCGAAGCGTTCTAGCAAAGCGCTACATTGGCCTCGGCGGGAACGGGGACCGCCTTCGTCGCGCTGGGCGATTTACACCGGCCCGGCCTCTGCGCGCGATCGCAGCGGCTGGGGCGTGCACGAAAGAGAGGGCCGAGCGGATACTGACTGTGCACGGGCTGCAGCGAGGGCGGCGGCTCGCGCGACAGGCGGTTGGCGGTGAAGAGCAGCGAGTTGGCGGCGGGGCGCATCTGCACGTCGGCCAGCGCGGCCGCGGCGGGCAGGCGCGTCTTGGCGCGCGCCGCGTCCTTGGGCGCCTTGGCCGGGAAGTGCGCGGGCGCCGGCCGCGAGTGCGCGTAGTAGCCGGGCGCCGAGCGCTGGCGGAAGGCGTCGCGCGGCGCGCCGAAGCCGTTGCCGAACAGCTTGTCGGGCGGCGGCACCAGCGGCGCGGCGGGCTGCAGGCTGAGCCCGGCCAGCACGTCGTCCAGCGGGCGCGCGCGCAGCCCGCCGCGGAACAGCGAGTCGCGCTCGCGGTGCGCGTCGCGCTCGCGCTCGCGCCGCGGCGGCGGCTCGTCGTCGTCGCGCAGCTGGTGGATGGGCACCGGGCCCTCGGCCGACACGGCGGCGCGCGGCACCCAGCCGCCGCGGCGCAGCTCCACCACGTCACGCAGCATGAAGCGGATGCGCGGCGCCAGCTCGGCCGACGCCGACAGCGTCTCGATGCGCGCGAAGTACTGGTCCATGAGGCCGCGGCCGCGCTCCGAGTCCAGCACGCGCCCGCACGTGCGCACCAGCTGCGCCAGGCACTCCAGGTCCTCGTGGTGCTCGGCCGCCGCGCGCCGCGCCAGCAGGTTCTGGATGCAGCGGTGCAGGATGGACTCGGCCAGGATCTCCAGCTTGCCGAGCTCCCCGATGAACTTGATGTTGCCGAGCATCTTGCATTTTGCCAGGTGCCGCTTCTCCTCCTCGTCCGGCGAGAGCTCCTTGTTCTCGTACGCGGCGAAGGCCTGCGCGGGGAACGTCGAGAACGAACTTTGGGTCTAATAGTAGTAACAGTAGAGCTCGTCTGGGGAAGTGTTTTTTTTTTTTTTTTTTAATTTATTTAGGAAAAACATACAGTCTTATACAAATATTACATATAAAAACATTAAAATTACAAGCAGACCTGATTGTTCCATTAAATAATTACGAATATAAGAAAATTTGTACAACGGACAACAGTATACATGACATCCAACAATAAAAGAAATTAAACAATATAAGGTTATGCATTAGGTGCTCTGTGAAATATAATATCTCCCACTTTTCGCTTATACTTTACCAGCGATAAAGAGAACATACCGACGTCTTTCAAGTTGTCGTTATAATACCTACACGAGCGTCTAATAAATGAGTTTCTGGCGTAATTTGTAGAACATGGGTAACAATAAAAAGATTTTTTGGAACGTGAGGAGATTCTTGGAACATAGAAATTAATCAATTGTAGTAAGGAAGCAGAGTCTATATTACCATTAACTATTTTATATAGGAAAATTTCATCCAAGAAGATACGTCTGTTAACTAGGGAATCTATATTATACCTTTTACCGGCAGTTTCATAGTCAACAAAGAAATTCCCTGTTCGGTAGTCTAATGATTTTAGAAATTTGTTTTGAACTTTTTCAATGCGTGCAATATGAACGGTGTATTGAGGGCTCCATACGACACATGCAAATTCTAAAAGTGATCGAACGAAAGAATAATATAAAAGTTTATAGGTAAATGCTTTATTAAATGGCCTAGCAAGGCGAAGAATCATACCAAGTTGCTTATAAGCTCCACCAATTATATTATCAATGTGAATATTAAAATGTAGTAGTATTATTAAAATGTGAATATTAAAGTGTTGTGCCACCTTGCCTATTTCTGCCGCCAAGCAGTGAGGTGAGCGTTACTGCGCTCCGGTTCTAAAGAGTAAGGACGCTGGTAAAATTACAGGCACATGGGACTCGTCGACTCTCGTATCCTTGCAATTTAAAACTCTGAATGGCATAATATGACTGTTACGGACAGACGCGTAGCTTACCACCTGGCGCACGACTTGTTTGCCACTTATGCCGTCCCGTCACTAGATGTTATAAAAAAAAGGCAATCCAGTCGATGTACCTGCGCGCGGTTCTCGAATTCGGTCCGGCATTTGTTCAGCAGTAACAACTTAAACGTGCAGGGCTGTCCGGGCGGCTCGAAGTTGGGCGCCTCTTCGCTGAGCCGCTTGCAGAGTTGGGCGTACATGGACGAGTACTTGGGCTCGTCTAACGCCTTCTCGAATATGAGAAGAATTACGCCTTTGAGGACCTTGTCCGAGTCCAACTGAAGGCCCAGCAGGTCGTCGCTGAGCTTCTGGAACTTCTCTGGCGTGAGTTTGTTGAGGATGCCGCGAACCTGCAACAGACGGGAAGGCGACAGTTACCGGCCGAGCTACCGGTACGGCCGACAGGAGCGAAGCGGCCCGGACGGCGGATCGACGAACCTTGCGGAAGATGATGTCGTGCTTGGCGTCGCCATCAGGCACGTCGTGGTGTCGCAGCGAAGAGGGGGGGACCCAGCGGCGCCGGTGCGGGGGGGCGGCGCGATGCCCCGGCGCGCGCGACGCTGGCCCCGGCTGCCGCGCGCTGTCCGTCTTGCGGCCGGTGCTGCCTCCCACGGCCGAGCCTCGCTCTCGCTCGCTCTGCCGCAAGCACGTTGCCGAGCGAGTCACGCCTCCGCTTCAAGCCTGCGACACACACTTGTCCGTTAATATAACACGGAATTTTTGCACAAACAAAACAACACACAGCGTAACATACGTTCATACTTCAGCATTTCTACAGCCCAAACATTTAATCAACATGTTTAGTACTGAAAGAAAATCGTCCCAGTACAACGGTTTTACATATTCGTGGCGGCTCAAAATCTAGATATAAACATTCTAATAATGTATAAGCAGTAAATCTTAAAATCCAATCGCGAAACGCACAAGAAGTAAAGGAAGCAAAGAGAGGACACGCTTTTTATAAGAAATACCTTTTTTATTCCTACGGGTGAAATTGTCTCCACAAACTTTAGTAACAATAAGTCCTCGAATGTCTCAGTATTTCAGAGGACAATATAGCGAGTGCGCTCCGTGGAAATTTAGTTTTATCCAATTTTTGACCAAGAAACGAACAATTAGGTTCGTGTTCGTCAGTTTCTACTTAAATTATAAAATTACACAATTGCAAAAACGTAAAGCCTAAAAAGCTATGCTAAATTTCCAGGACAATGGAACATTTTATTTGTTCTTTCTTCTTGGGTCCGTGAAGTTATGGCTCGGAACAGTTCTGTGGTACTCATGTTGAACCATTCTGCAACATTTTGAAGCGATGGTTTTTCTTCTGTCACGTCTTCTGGGGCCTTGGATTTTTACTTGCAGAATGAGTTGCAGTAGAGAGTATTTTTCGCTCCGCATAATGTGCCCGAAGTATTGCAATCTTTTTGACGTTAATATTAAGACCGTTCTGTGTGCTGATCGACTCTACACGATTGAACAGTTGCAGTAGATGTTCCACCGAGATGGTAAGGAGAATCGTGTCGTCGCTTACAACAATCCCTTCGGTTGCGTCTTGAAGGGAATCTGAAAAAATCTCCTCTGCGTAACGTAGAAAAAGAACGGTGATTATACACATACATTCCTGCCTCCACCTGCTTCACTCCTCGTACTATCTCCACATCATCTGTGAGTTCTTGCTCTACGCGTATATTTCCTATGCGCTGTTGGCAGCTTTATTGGTAAAGACTTTTTGTCACTAAGGTGTTCTTTGGAATTTAGGCCTATATCTTCCAAGATCTGTATCACCTTGTCATGTTTCACATAATCAAATTCTTTATAATTTTATTTGTATACATTTCTAAACAGTCCGATTCTGATGATTTAATGATTCTCGCCATTTGCAGTTGCAACTATGACAATTCACGGCTGTGAATGGAAGTTATGGAAGTGGGTCATGGGACGAGACGACCACTTCTGTCATTTCCATCATCCAACGGTAAATTGAAATCCATATTCAAGAATTACGAAGTAACACAAGAGCCATGGTTTGCCACGATTCGATTTCCATCCTTCAACTATAAAAACACAAAATTTACTCTTTTGATATTCAAAGTAGTGACCGAGAATTTTGAGATCCCGCGTCCGTGGAATCGAGATTCCCCATAATATTCACCTACAGCTCCGCCACAACAGTACTACTGTCATGGATTTGTTATTATCATTGATTTATTTCACGGCACGGTGCCCCCACCAAGAGGCAACTTTTCAACACATGTGTCTTGGACATCATTGATTTATAAGATTAACACACAAAAATAATTTTGCGCCAAATCTATTTATTGGGTGCATTTATATCGCCGCACTTGTAAATGAAAACTTACGCTTAACATTAACATTTATATAAAGGTACGCTCACGAACGTACAGAAACTTTTGTGTACAAACAGGACCATCGCATTTATGTCTTTCTTAAAGCACATAAGATACAAGTTTCTACTGTAAGTATACACTTTAAAAAAGTTACTTAAGGAAGTTAACTTTAGTTTATATTATATTTATAGAATCTTCCTTTTGTGAGACTGAATAAACATTATCTTTATTATTACGTATTTTTTCGCCACCAAGTCAGCGATCATCAAAAATCCAAGTTGAAGTTATGTTGGTTTGTTCCACTAACTAACGTAGACTTGCCTCCGTGGCCGAACCCTCCTGCACTACCACGCAGATTCCCGGGCCAGAAGAAATTTATAAAGCCTACATTTATTTCTCTCGTAAGTTTGGTTGTAATTTGTGGTAGTCGATGTGCGTGTCCATAGCTCCCGCGATACAGGGTTTCTCTACTGCGGGGCTTCAATTATATTTTTTGAAATGACTACACTAGCTTGTTATAATTATTAATACAAAGTCAAAGATCATTTATTCCATAGGCAAAATAAATTTACACTTGAAAACGTCCCATTTACATTACATTAAGCTACTGCTCGTTCACTACGCTGATTTCCCTGAGAAGAACGAGCAAGAAACTCTAGGGATTGCTCTTTTCAAATAAACTTAAATGCTATGGAATACACTTTGAATCAAATTTGTGTGGATTCTGGAGCCGTGTCGTCTTTCCATACATCTTTATCTAACACGTAGTCTTCAATTATGTAATATGACTTTTCGATCAAAATATTTTTAATGTAGTCTTTAAACTTAGGAAATGATAAACTTAATATATGCTCCGGAATCTTATTGTAAAAACGTATACAGTTCCCCATAAAAGAGTTGTTTACCTTGGTTAAACGAAATCGTGGTACCATGAGTTTGGACTTAGCTCTAAGGTTAATATTATGGATATCTTCTTTCTTATTGAAATTATGTATCCTCAAAAAGTTTGAAGTTCCTTACGAACTTATTAATGTCAAAACATCGAACAAAGATCGGACACTCAGAAAGATAGATACAGCTACCAGCCCTGGCGAGATGTCGCTTTTTTGATATCGATTGTCTTGATTATGTTGTCGATTGATTACAATTATTTTTTGTGAAATTACTCCACTAGTTTGTTATAATTATTAATACAAAGATCGAACACTCAGAAAAAATTCCTTCGATCCGGCCGGATTCGAGCCGACGTCTTCTAGCATACCGTGGCAGACGCTATACCAACTAAGCCACGGAACGAACCAGGGGACCTCACGAATTTTTCTATGTGCTTGTTGTCGTGTCTTTGTATTTGGTTTTCCAACGACTTTTTAGTCGTAATACTTGCGCAGTGCTTGCTACGCAGGTTAGTACGTGCTTGCATTTAATAACCTCCCACCAAGACATCACTATTATACTTATTAAATTTTTTGGTAACAAATTCACACATCATGTCACATAGATTATGTTTTCCTTAAATTTATGGAGATTTGAATTTCCTATCATTAATCTCATAATTTCTCATTTTCTAAAGCTGTGAACAGTGATTCTACTAATTAGTAGCAGTAGAGCTCCTTGTGAAAGAGGTCGTCCAGGTAAGTACTGCCACCTTACCTATTTCTGCCGCCAAGCAGTAGTGCGAGGGTTACTGCATTCCGGTTTAGAAGGGTAAGGGTGCTGGTAAAATTAGAGGCACCTCTGTCAACTTATGTCTCAGGGTGACAGGCGCAGTGGTAGCGCCCGTTAGATCTTTGCGATTTAAAGTTCCGAGTGGCACTGCAACTGTTACCGACCGGCGCGTCGCTTACCAGCAGGTGCACGACTCGATCGTCCTGTCACTTGGTATTATAAAAAATAACAATAATAATATTTATTGGCTATTTTCGTGTTCCCGTATGCAACTAAACAAAAATCTTTTACAATTCATTTCGTAACTTTGTAATCAATATTGTATTATATTATAATAAATAGACGTAATGACATTTCGAACACCCATGTAGAAGGATCGAGTTCAAGGGTGAAAACAGGCAAATCATTCGAATTCACGTTTAAGAATAATTCAATATTTCATAGGAAGATCAGTACTCTATTTTAAATTTAAGGAAAACGTGACATTGGCGCTAAAAATCAACATAGGTGTTTTCGGCAAACCATTAATCTATCACTTAAAAAATATTATTTTACCAATTATATTAGAAATAGGTAAAATAATATTTCGGTGAGGCTCTTTTCATAAATGCCCACTGCGTAGCCAAGTACTACCATTAGTGGAGATTTGTGGAATGAACCGTTTTGTTAAGTTACCCAATAATATATCATTTTAGTCGCTACATGGCGTTATCGAAATGCAACACGTTGTTGGTTTGTTGTACACAAATCTCACATTTAAGCGTCCTCGACTGTACCTATTCTTAAACAGCTTCCATTTAACAAAGACTACGCTGGGACTGTTGTACTGCACGTTGGAAAACAGTCATCGTTTATTGCTTTCACTTGTGGGGGTTCAGGGCCAGACACACGCGGCGCTACTCCTAGGAAACTGCATTTATCTCAAATATACACTTACAAAAACCATGCATTTATATTGTGTATAAAAAACTTTCAAAACATCGAATACTATCTCCGTTATTTTATTTTTATTCATCAGAAAAAATACTTTTCCTCAAGAGCATGCAAAATTACTTTAGTAGTATTTAGTATTATTTTCATCGCGCAAATTATGAGATTAATTACGTGTTTTGGGAAATGTCATATGAACAAATAAAGGTCAGTGTAATTTTTTTAGATGAGCATGATAATGAGGAATATTACATTTGATGCATTTATTTATTTACTATACTATTTATAGAACAATTTTGTTACGTTTCTTGAACATCAAGCTCAGGAGTCGATCGACGTTTACTGAAACAAGTGAATAATACAACTATTCGATTCGAAACTCTTTAAATCGATGCACGCGACGTTAGGTCGCTAACGGATGCCGCGGCGCCGCCGCCGCCGCCGCGCCCGGCCGAGTCAAGATAGAACGAATCAGGATTCGTTCACGATATCTTTCGTATTTGTTGTGGTGGTAACACAGTGGCAACACAAATGTTACATTGTGCAAAAATGCAAGAATACGAACGTGTCTGTAAACCGATTTTTTAGTTCCGAGAGACGCGAAAATAAGAAAAAATGCAGTAATGTAAATCATCTTATATCAAATGATGAAATTCCCCTACCAAGTTAAAGTGTTTTGTACTGTGGCGAATATCATTTTGACGTAACAAGCATTGTACCCCAGACCAAACG